GCCTAATATTCAAGCTAGGAGTGTTAACCAGAATAAAGCCTGGGAAATTTAGGTGCCTTGAGAAAAACGGCTGCAGATGAGTGCTGTAGTGGGTAAGAATGGCTCCTGCAGGGAGTAAAAGTGTCTATTTGATTATACTCTAGTTCTGTGGTGGGCTTGGGACTCCTGATTCAAGGAGAGAGTCTGAATCCAGGTCCAGGGAAAAAGATTAATAGGCTCCTGACTCAGAGAGGAGAGTAAAGAGTTTTAGTGATAGTCAGAGCTTGGAGCAGGGAGAAGTTGAAAAAGGGTTTTGCACCTTCTCTAGCTACTCAGAGAGAAGGACAATATAGTCCTTTGGGAAGGAGGGGCTGTGCCCAGCTGGAGTCCGGGCAGAAGAGACTTTATTTTGAATTTAATTTAACTCATACCATGTAGAACTTCAGCAGGTGACTTTTGTTTCATACCCTTTGAGTTGCACAGAGCTCATTAAGGGATCATGCACAGAAGGAGATATGGAGACAGGTCATTGCTGGCAGAAAGTTCTCCAAAAGCAATTACCCCATTACATGGGGAGGGCACAGCTACTGGCTCTTTTGTAACCAGAAGTATGAATTCTGATGGGCACTAGATTCTGTCCTCTGTTTTAGCAATTATAGCCAGTAGAGGAAACTCAGAGGAGCAGCACTATTCCTATTACCATTTTATATAGTCTCTGTGAGCTATGTGTAGAGTGTGTAACTTGTTTTACGGTAGATCGCGAATGAGCATAACACTTTTCAAAGTCAGTCACTGAGTTTTCACAATGGTGAGTATTTTGGATGTATGTATCTATTTTTTTCCTTCTCTTGAAAATTAGATTTGCGTGTAAAAATAGACTGATATTTCAATAGCTATAATAGCAGAGTAATTGGTACTGGGGCCCCAACCATGTGAACCTAAGGAAGACAGCTCAATTACTAGATAAATTCATCCAGAAAGTAATGGCCTGTGAGTCTCAATGTGGATTTACATTTATGGAAGAAGAGTCTGAGCACAAGCCTCTGTGCTTTTTGTGAAGATCTGTGTGCTGATGACAACAAGAATCACTTGTTTCTGCAAAGACCCTTACATAGTAAATGATGTGGAAATCAGCAAATCAAACATTTCTGCAGAAAATAAAATAACTTTTTAAAAGGAAAATGAGTGCTTAATCCTCATCTGTTTCTGAACACACAGAAAAGGCATCTTCCATGCCTTCTCTTAGAACTGCAAAATGTAAGAATTCCTACTCAATAAGGCAAGATCTGGTGCTACTGGCTGGTATTGATATCTGTTGTTGATATATGTTCCTTTTTTGTAGTTCCATGTGTCTGAACAGTTTAAGTTTCAGTTCAGAGGCTAAGTGTAAAAAAGAGCATATGCTCTGCATTTAGTGGAATAACTTAACTGATATTTCCATCAATACTATTTTATTGGTGCCCTGCAATACGGATTTAATTTTCTGGGAAGAGTGTAGATACTACAGTGAGAAGTGCTATAGAAAACTAAGACCTATCTAGACAGATTCCCAAGTTCTCTTGGAAATACATCAGTGAAAAAACTTCCAATACAAACAAATGCAGCAGAATTTGTCTCTTGATAATGCTGAGCAATTGAGTTGTGTTATGGCATTATGGTGTAACTATAATATTGCTGTAGTCATTTGGTATTCCAGTGACAAGCACTATAGACATGCTTAAAATAGATCACAACTGATTGAACTGTTGACAGTATGGAGTAATCTGCAGAGTACAAACTAATACACAAAAAAGACACAGACTTAATATATTAGGATGTACTACAGGTTGTACCTCCCTTATCCGGGACACTCTGGTCCGGCAACAATCGGTCCACGGATGTTCCTGGATCACAAAGCCCAGGTATAGGGAGGTTTGGGCTGCAGGGCAAGAGTGACAGGAGAGTGGAAACTCAGCTGGGAGCTGGGGCGTAGAGGGTTGGGTGACCCAACAGGGAGTTCTGGCCCCTGTGGCCAGGCAGTAGCCAGGGCCCGGCAGCAGCAGACATGGAACTCTGGGCCCAGCCACAGAGCTTAGGGGCTGGCAGCAGCAGCTGAGAAGGTGCAGCCCTAACCCTGGAGCTCAGGGATGGCAGCAATAGCCGTGGAGCTCCAGCCCCAGCTATGGAGCTCTATCCCTGGCCACAGAGCTCCTGCCCCAGAGGCAGCAACAATCAGGCAGGCAGCAGTGGGACTAGGCCAGAGTCCTAGTCGGGGCAGCAGGACAGCATGGGCCATGCTGGGAGGGACCTCCCCTGGTCCAGCAAATCCCCTTGTTTTTGGACCAGTTAAGTTGCTAGGGAGGTCTACTTGTAGTTGTTAGTGACATAAGAATCAAATTGCAGAATATCCTGTAGACTACAGTAGTAATTGTATGACTAGACCTGGAGGTCTAGTTGAGCTGCACTCCACACAAAACATAGTGTGGTAATAGGAAAAGGCCACTCCTTGACCACCCTGATCCTAGGAGCTCTGGCCAAAGTTAGAGCTGCTTTAAGGATGCTTTAACCTTCCCTGGCTGAATGATACTTAGTGGGCCATTTTGGTAGCCTGGAATAGTTAAGGCAAAGGGACATGCTCAACATAGCCATGTCGTTGTCTTCTTATCCCCTATATCAGGGCTGTTGATTGGGATGAGGGGGAGGGAGCAGCTGCTTGGGATCTAGCAATTTAAAAGGGACTGGGGCCCTTGCCACTGCTGCTGCAGCAATGGCTGGGGCCCCAGGTCCTTCAAATCACAGCTGGAGCCCCTGGCTGTGCTTTCTGGGCTGTGCAGAATAGGTGGCAGGTAGCCCCCAGGGCACCTCTTTTCCCTGAGACCCTGCCCTTTCTAGCAATGTCTGGAGATTCCCTCTCTGCCCAGCCTTCCTGGGGCCCAGCATTTTTATCCTCTGCCCTGCCCTACTCAAAGGGTGCAGTTTAAAAGAGTGGCATAGGTCCACGTGCACTCTACCAATCCACATGGAACTTGCAGATGGGAGCACGTATTGCAAGAGGGAATCATTTGGAAGGGGAGCCAGAAGTCAGTCTCTACTCATGGCTAGGATGCTAGCTGCAGGTGCAGTATCTCTATAAATAGTTCTTATAATAAATAGCTGTTTAGTTACAAAAACATGGATTTTCCTCATATTGTTACTCAGCACATGGCATGTGAAACATGGTGACAGTCAGTCTAATGAGTAAGAAAGTCATTGACAGATAAGCAAAACAGTGCCTAGAATGATAGCTGACAGGGAGATTGGAGAGACCCCAACCATTTGGAAATGTTGGATTTCCAGAGCAAAAGAAAAAAATCTTGCATAAGCATGTTGAAGCAGGTATTGTGTTTGTGTACTGAGGTAAATGTAGGGGTTAAAGCTTTTTTACTTTCATTACAGAGGGTGGTGATGGGAAGGACACAGATGAGAAATATGAGACTGAGGGCTTGTTTAACTGGAGAGTTAGTACACAGTAAGCAGGGGTATAAATCTACAGCACTCTAGGCTACTTCTGCTCACTCACCAGCCATATAGAGCCTTCAATGGCAAAGTAAAAGTTATGTACTGTGCTTTGGTCTACACCTGCCTCAACCTAGAATAGATAAAAAAGGATAGATCAAAGTGCACTAGGGAGTTTTCACTGTGTGTGATAGTGCATTGTAGACTTGTATTGCAGCTTGCTGTTCACTGGCTCTGAAAGCCGAATTGTTGCCAAGAATAATACCTGAAACACAAGGACAGCTGATAAGTGTCTTGAGTACTATCACCCCTGACAGAATGAAACCATAGAGAAAAATTGTTT